TATATATATATATATTTTTTTTTCCTTGACTCCTTTTTTATTGTGCACAAAAACCTGGGGTTGCATTCTCTCTTGCGCCCACATTTTTGGRGTTTAGCTACCAGTTGGCCACAAAGTGGCAGCTGTGATCACGGGAACATGAAGTTGCGTGGAGATGGTCTTGTAGACTTTTAACTTCAACATTCTCTCCTTTAGTTTCTTTGCTTCATGTTCAGTGTGGTGTACACAAYCATATCAAACTACCCAGTGACACGTTTGATCCCTTTAAATAGGCTGAGTGGCTGATGCAAAGCTTGTGATACTAATGAAGGTCAAACAGTTTGAAACATGACTGCAAAGATTAACAGTCTGTTTAAGACTAACAACAAATCTGTCATTTTTTTGCCTAATATTTGTAAAATAGCTGACAAATAAATTCTTGTCACATTTTTTTGCCTAATCACAGACTAAAATCACGCATATATGCATTTGACCCTTGCTTTTAACTGAATCATTTATCACAAGGAGTGAAGCATTGTTTCAGCGAGCTGTAGCAGCACCAGCAAAATGATCTGCCTCTGTATTACCATAAGGTATTCACCACTAGATGGCGCCATTATCATAGTAGTGAGGTTAATTGGGAGTTGTTTGGGTTCGGATATATGCAGGAGGTAATTACTGGYACTTAAATGCTATTGAATGCTCCTTTTTCTGCCATCGCAGGATCAGCTTGTTCAGTGCCAGCAGCACTCGTACAAACTCCAAGCGTCCAATCGGCAACTGGAATCAGTAAGTAATGCTTAATTAAAAGCATGTTAAATTACCGCCTTCCTATTAGCTGTGGGATCGAAATGCTTTGCACTTTTCCAAAATGAACCCTGTTCTAATAATTAATCTTGTAACTAAGTGAATTGGTTTCTAGATCCCTCTGGTGGTATGCGAGAAATGTCTTGTTTATAATGGTTTGTCAGCTCACTTKGTAATCCTCTTTCTTAGCTGTATGTTACTTCATGTCACTGAAATCACTGATACTTAAACACCTGACTACTCAGGTTCTTTTTTGAAAGAAGCTGACTTAACAGAGACTCTGCCTTATTATGGATATACCTAACGAAATACGCGTATACAGTATGTATGGTGTTTACTTGGCTCATACCCCAGTGTGTGTGCAGATACTATAGTAATACTATATCCCTCTAATGCATTTTTAATGTGCGGGTAAGCCTTGGGCTCTCCCCTCCTTGACTGTTCATGCAAGCAGCCTTTTTGAGTCTCTGCATGTGAGAACAATTGACTCTGCATTTGTGAGCGTGACACAGGCTCCTCAGGGTTTGTTCCAAAAGGACAAAAGAAAGTTTTAAGAGAGAAGTTTTGCTGGAAAGTTGCTTTTGATTAAAAAAAAAACTCAGAGCTGCGTGTTTAGAATCATGCCACACAAATGGCATTCTTGTCTTTCCTGCCACACACAGACTAACCAGCAGCTCCTGAAGACGGTGACAGAGCAGAGCACAGAAATGAAGGAGCTACACTGTCAGCTCAGGTAACTAAACACCCGAGAGATTCAAATTGGCTGCTGTCAGAGGTCTTTAGTTTTTATTATTATCGCCTAACCCAAAACATACTTCATGCTGAAGCCTCTCTTGTACCCTTTTGACAACAATTTCAGTCCAATTTGTTTAAATAGAAATAGGTTTAAAAGGTTTGTTTCGTGTGCTGTGACCTGCACATTGGGGTACAAAAGGTAAATTATGGTATTTAAATTACCAGTTTAACACTTTAATGTGTGAGTTATTTCAGTTTTTTTTCTTCTAGTTGCTCATACATTGTGCTTCCTTATAGTCACTTTTCAGACCAGATATACTGGATTTATTTTATTTATTTTTTTTATTATTAGTTGACTTGTTAAATTGCATCTCAAATCAAGCTGAGAACAGATATTCTTTGGGGAAATTTTATTTGCAAGATTTTTTTTCCTACATTGTACATATTGCATATAGATAATTAGCCAACAACTGGTTTGTGATTCATGATGTTTGCTGTCACTGTCAAGTTGCCCAAACACCGGCTGTGGCTTCAGGACGTCAATTTTCCTAACCATCAGCCCAGAACATAACCTCTTGTAATACTCCTCCACACCACCTCTACTCTGCAGTTGTTATGCTTTAAAATGACACTCTATTTATTTGTAATAAATAGGAATTAAATTTTTGGAGACAGGTGACTGTTCTACAGTTTTTCTGGGTTGTTTTTAGTACTTTTCTTTGATCCGAATTGAAATTTTTAAAACTGCTTGTTTAATTTTAACATCATTGTTACACTTGTGCACATTCATTTGATCAAATTACACATGCATTTGTCCATAAATGCAAATGATTCTGTACAATTTTCTTCTGTTTCCTACATTATCAAATGGTTATGTCATGTTGATCAGATGTATGTGCCTGTGTTGTACAATCTCACCCCCTATTAGTTCATCACATTAACCTTTCCATGCAAAATGATTGAACAAGTTCTCACAATATATCAAATTTCTAGACATTTCCATTACARTGGCAAAAAAAATGGTATCAAATTATCTGTCTTGTTTGCTTTAACTGTTACTTTTCTTTCCTGCCCAATATAGACAGGCCAAGACTGACCTTAGAATGGCCACAGCCAAAGTGGATGAGATGACCAAATTGTTGCAGAATTTCCAGGAACAGATGCAGAGAAGAGTGAGTACATTTAAATCCTAAATAAGGAAATTATAGGGCTAGTAACTTTTGAAGGCATCCATATCACCTGCTGACTTTCATGTCAATGTTTTAGAATCTTAGCAACACAATAAATCATATTGTTATTTTGGTCAAACCTCAAAAATGATGCCGTGGGTGGRTGATAACAGCACTAATAAATGGTTTACCCATCTAAAGGCAACATGGGGCGAATGGATCACACTGTCTGTATTTGAAACAATATTTTTTTTTGTTAAAACCAGTTATTTTGTAAGCATTGCTCTGCACTACAGACAGCTTTTTATTTTTCCAACATTTATTTAATTTACAGTAAGATTCCTCTCATGTTCAAACCTCCTGTGTGTTATCAGGASGAAGATGTGGCTGAGGCTCGTGGACGAGAGGACGCAGCAGACAGACGACTCCAGCAGCTTCAGACGACTTTGAGCCAACTTGAGACCAGGTGAGCATTTTATTAGCCGCCTGTTGCTTCACCTGTAATCCCTTTACAATCTCTGTCTCAGTAACTGACTGGAAGCCAACAAAGAGCGATTCTTTAAATGAATAAACTACTACAAAAAAGATTTTATAGAAAGTCACAGAATTTTATATCGGAGTTTTAAGTGTCACGAGGCCAGGCAGCAAGTCTCGGACTTTTTTTCTCCTTTTGCCGACTCTCACTGCTGTTCTCCGTCTTCAGGCTGAAAGCTGCCTCTCAGGAGGCAGAGGCAGTTCGCAGGGAGCAAGCTGTGTGGGAGAGAAAAGTCGGGGAACTCCAGACACGTTGTACCACCCTCGAAGAGGAGAAGTACGAGGCTCTGTCCAAAGTCAGAGAGAGTGTTCAAGTGGCTGAGGAGGCTGTACTGCAGAAGGAGCAGGTGACCGGAGTCTCTTTGTCTTTGTCCTTTATCCAGCTGACTTTTTTTTTCTTCTTTTCTTTTTCATTACTGGCTGTTTTCCTTTGAGTCCATCCACCATCCATGAATGGCTAAAGTTTTTTTTTTTTCACCTCACTGGCACTTTTCCCACTGAAATGCTTACCTGTTCCCATTTTTACTTTTTCCTGCAGTCACTGTTAAGAGAAAAGCAGAAGACAGAAGAGCTAGAAAAGACAAATGAAGCTATCAAACTGTTGATCCAGGAGGCTGCAGTCCGAACCAGGAAAGAGGTAGACATAACAAGTATTAAAATGAATAAACATTCCAGTTAAATGCATTCAGGGTGTGACTGAATTCTACTTTGAGCTTTATGCTAAATAGATTTTTTAAAATCACACTTTTTTAAAACTGCATATTTATAAATCTAAAACATAAAAGCACAGACGTTTCTACCTTTAATGAGGTTCACTTGGAGGAAGCACCAACTTTACAAGTCGGTTAGCCTTTTGCCTTGCTTGCTTAAACACATGAAWCCCCTAGCCAAAATCAGAGCACCCTGTGCAACCTCAGCCAGAAATGTGTTGATTAGTGCGCTTTTCTTTTTCATCCAGCTTGTCGACTTCTTAATCCTGTTAATACAGCACAGCATGACTGAAGCACAGGCCAGAATCTTATTCACTGGCTGGCCTTTTAAATGAAAATAGTCTGAGTGAGAGTTGATGCTTTGGAATTTCTGCTCAGATAATTGACTTTCGTACCTCCCAGGTACTTTTTGTCAGTGGACTTGAAATGTATTTTAAATATTACAGCTGAAGGAAGTACATTTTTTACCCTTATCTTCATTTTTACCTCATCTTCATTTAAAATGCACTCAGACGAAAGACAAATTTGGAAAATGAAGAATTAATCTCTGGGCTAGTTAACAGTGGTGGTTAGATTTTTGGACTTACCCGAGGACATAAATATCACTTAAAACTTTAGTTATCAAAGATGGTCCTTCTAAAATAGAGGCATTCCTTTACAGTTCACACTCACCTTTATCTGGTTTTTTTAACAAAATAAGGCTGTTGTTTCTTGGTGTCTTCTGAAAATATACTGTCTTACTCAAACACAAATTTAAAAAGTTGGGACATTGTGTAAAATATAAGTAAATATTATTGTAAATCCTTCCTTTAGTGTGGTATAAAATGTATTTATTTGTATTTTTGATTTGCTCAGTCAAGACAAAATCCAATACGAACCATTCAATTTGAATTGGTCTTCTGTGCTGGACATAGAACTAAGTGAGAATTGTCCTTTTTTTTCTCTTTCTTTCCAACAGGTAGAAAATGTGCGCAAACAGTGCAATGTGGAAATCCATCGCATGGCGGAAGAACTGTCTGCACTTCAGCTGGTACAAGCCTGTTCCTCTAAACGGATTTTCCTTTCAGAATCACACTAAACCTTTGTTAGTTTCTGCCTGTCTGCTTCAGTCTTGAACAAAGCCTTTCCYTGTCAACCCTTGTTCCAGGAGTGTGCAGATAAAGAGTCACAGATTGAAAGGTCCCTGCGTGACAGAAAAGCTGTAGAGGAGGAACTGGAGAAGGTATCTGTGAAAGCACCGATGAATTCACAAAGTTGCTGCTGAAGCTGGCTAAAGGCTTCTGCTATGGCTGCCTGGTGTGGGATTTTGTTTGTAATTGTGCTGTTTTCTGTTTCAGGTGTATAAAGAGGGCAGGGCGGAGCCGGAGTTCAGGAAGATCGACGCCCTTCATCAGAGGTGTCTAAATGCAGAGAGGCTAAAGGAAGACATGAGCCGCACTCTGCACAGCACGCAGAACAAACTGAAAAAGATGGAAATGGAGTAAGAGTGGTTTAGCGTTGCACCTGTTCATTTAAACTCTGATGCGGGAAATTAAGTCCTTCTTTTTCGTCCGCTTGTAGCTACAGCGAGGAGCTGTCTCGATGTCAGGAGGAGGTGCGACGGCTGCAGCGCTCACTGGCTGAAGCGCGGGATAACTGCGTTGGTGCCAGTGAGGAGCGACTTCAGCTGCAACAGGAAAACACGCGGCTCCACAAAGAGATGGACGAGCTGCGCAAGACCACCATGCTGGTCCAAATGAAAGCCAAGCAGAAGGTGATCAGACAGAAAAACACGAAATACACAACTAAACACTCTTAAAGGGATCCATGATCAGTTGTAACATTAGACTTTATTTCATAAGCATATATTTTAACTGAAAAATAAAGACTGTAAAAATACTGTAGGATGTTCACTTTTTATCATTTTTAAACTAGAAGTTTAAAAATATATTACACGGACGGGGCCATTTTATTTACACTCAAAGCATTCTGGGTAAATGATGACGTGGATAGGTCATCGGTGCGAGGCTGCTAGCGACCTATATCCACCCTAAAGTTTATTATTGGACAATATCTGA